TTCCTTTTTTGTAAGGTTTTGAAGACTGCAACATACATTTTAAGTTTAATAGGAGAGTATCCTCAGTAGGCAGGCATTTTTACACAAATGGTGGGGTGGGAGACAAAGTTAGGTGTGGCGCAGTGGTTAAACTGCACTACTGTAGTCAAGGCTCTCTTCATGATCTGAACTTTAATTTGCATCTTGATGTGCTCAGGTAGACAACTCAACCTTCCACCCTTCTGAGGTCGGTAAATTGAGTACCCTGCTTGTGGTGGGAGGAATCAATGTATAGCCTGCATAGTTAAATTGTAAACCACCCAGAGTGTACTTTAAGCGCTATGGGGCAGTACATAATCAGCACACTTTGTTTTGCTTTGCTTTACAGTAGTGCCTCGCTAGACAGTTACCTCGCATGACAGTTTTTTCGCTAGACATTGACTTTTTGCGATTGCTATAGTGATTCACAAAACAGTGATTCCTATGGGGGAATTTTGCTGGACAAAATTTGTTGGTCCCTGCTTCACAAACCGATTTTTGCTAGACAACGATTTTGACAGCTCCCTCCGCACTTGCAAAACGGGTGTTTTCGGGACCTAAGCTTCGCAAGACAGCTATTTAAACAGCTGACTGGCAGTTTGCAAAGCGGCTTTCCTATGGCTGATCTTCGCTAGACAACGACAATTCTTCCCCACTGGAACGCATTAAAAAGGTTTCAATGCATTCCAATAGGGATATGCTTTTCGCTAGACAATGATTTCGCTAAACGGCAATTTCAGTGGAACGGATTATCATCGTCTAGCGAGGCACCACTGTAATAGAAACACAAGATAACAGTACAGTGATAATCTTAACCATGGTTGTTACAGGCCATTTCACAATCATTGAAAGGTGACATATACATCTCTTAATGAGTTTTTCAGAAGTCATAATGGGTGACAGGTACATGCAAGCACAGATAAATAATGCATATATGTGTGAGAAAAATAATTGTCTAGACCAAGTATGCAAGGAGAGTTTTGCCTGTAGATAGGTGCAATTGGAGCTGGACTGAAATTCACAGGACAGCAGGAATTCACAAAGAAGTGGTTTCACACACTCACTTCAGTCTCTGACATGATAACTGTTCAGAACCATGTTTTGTGAGGCAGGCACAATGCATAGCTACTATCCCTCTACCCCTCTACAGTCTGCTGTAAGAGAACTATAACTCTGCTTGATGGAACTATGGCAATGTAAGTTTGCATGGATGTTCTGACGCAAGGATCTGCTAAGGAATTAAAATAAATGGAGCCTTCTCCTACAGGACATGTTTTTGCTCGGTCACAACTGAAATGAGGCAGAAGCTCCAGACACATATAGGAATCTAGCTGAGACACAGCTCAAACTTACATGTGCTTTTCCCTACAGTCTTCTTCTTTGCTTTTGGAGAATCAGAATGATGACACTTCCACAGGTTGCATAATATTCACTAAAGTGACCCATAATATTTTAATTATAAACACAAAGGAAAATATTTAGCTTTTATAACAAAATTTATTTTTGTTCTGTAGATACAAATTCAAACATCAAACGGAGTGGAAAAATACTAGTAAGTAACAATGAAAATTTTTATCATTTAATAAATAGAACTTTGGCATTCAAAATTCTAGCTGTAAACGCTACTTTCTTTTTTTAAAAAAAAGTTACAAAAAGAGGCAAGGATGACAGGCCCGAAGACAAGGAGCCAGCCAGTGGCCCTTTTAAAATAAAAATTAAAAATCAATAACAACACTGAATGCATTTCGATTAAGTCATGACAACTCTATTTACACATGAGGTATTCTGAGCGGCTCAGAAATTGAACCCAAATGTTGAAACTACCAGTCTTAGGAGACTGATCCAGTACGCATCTACTGTGCTTTTAAAGTCAGCCCATTTCCCCTTACCTTTGCGACTGATTCTCAATGATATACTATACCTAACATATACAAAATTCATACATTCTGATTCAATTTCCTGCATCTTCCCTATATACAGAAAAACTGGTAAATAAAGATCAGACTGCTTTTTCAAAGGATGACTGACAGATCTAGAAAATATTTTGAAATGTGAAGTTATTTCTCACAAGCCTACAAGCCAAAACACCTCTAAGCAGAAAAAGCAAAGTGCAACAACTTGATACACCCATGGCTTTTAAATACAGGAAATTATTGTTTAAGCCTTAAGCAAAAATAAAAGGCACGGAGGTACACAGAAGTAGAATTAGTGGTACTAATGAACTATTGGTGCATTTGACTGGTTCAATGAATTTCTAAAATGTACTGGATTTTTTTTACAATAGTAATAGCCTTTTCTTCCATTTTGAATGAAACAGAATCCAGCTTCTGAATACTGTGTCAAGCCTACTTCATGCAAAGAGATGTCCCAAAACATACAAGCAGATTTGCACAGGTGTTATTTAGTGACAACTATACGCACCTTGCCTTACACTTTCATTCTCTTTGTCTCATTCCGTTTTATAGCAAGAAATAATCCCTGTCCCTTTCCTCCAGAAAAGTGAAATTCATAAGATAGTAAAAAGAGATGAAAGTAACTTTGGCTTACAAAGCAAATGTTATTAGGTGTTTAGAAATTCTCTAGCCTGGGTGGGTGATGGTGGCAACCAATTTAAAAACAGTAATAGAAAATTTACTGTGCTTCAAAACTGATATACCAAAAGCTGAAGGTTAATACTCAATGATTAACTTATTGAATAGGGAAGTCTCTTGATTTGGAGCTTACAGTTAGGGCTTACTTTCAAATAAGCATGCATACTGACCCCACTGGGTTATACAGTTTGCACAATTAAAGCTAACCCACCCCCATGAATGACCATATACATATTAACCGGCATATAAATAGTAATATCGGTCATATCCAAAACCACTTTCCAAGCTCCTTTTTGAAATACATTCTTAAATTACAGTAGTTACCATTAAATGCCATTTTCACAATTATAGAAACAGAACCTGAAATATGAAAAGTACTTGTACAAAACTGTTCATGTTTGTTTGCTAAAAGACAGATGCTTCCATTCATTAGTCATTTTTTCATTCCAGCCCTTGGGATTGTCTCTTACATCTGCTGCAAAAAGTTGTCATGACTAAATCAGTCTACTAAGCGACACCATTGTTAACTATTTCTCTTCAATGCTAGCATCCACCACTTCTCATAAAATGTGTTGAATGGGACAATAGACAGGTGTATATTAGCTGAAAATACCCATGCACATCTTTATATAAATTTGAAATCATTTAAAAGCCATTGTAAACTGATAACTTCTTTAGCTACTTAAACAGCCGACCCTGCTTTAAAATGTTAGTCCCAATAAAAAACATACTGCATCCTTATGGCTTCTTAACTTTTCCTCACGTCATTTCTATCTTTGGCTACCCTTTTCTTTCAGCAATTTGACTTGGCTGAAACACATAAATCTAACCATTAACAAACAGGCACTTCCTTTCAAATACCAGTTCCTTTCTATATTTTAGATATCCTGCATGAGTGACTGCTGTTTTAATGTCCTCTCAGCTAGGAACCAAAGATCTGATGATTATGATCAACCCTTGCTGGATGTAGGAACCTAACATGTAGGTCCAAAAAGATGGTTGGTACTTTCAGCTCCGATACCATCAGTCAACTGCTTGGGAGTGCGTAAGTAATGGGGCAAGTGGGACTGCAACCACTAGCGACACTTGAGCCTGGTTACATATAGTATAGTGAGAAACCTGGCCAATGAGAACATATGCAGCTTTCTTTCAGGCTACCACTGAATGTGGAGCTGCTGGGGATTGTGGTCAGTAAGCATGGCTACATTTCCTTCACATTTTCACTGAGCTTCAATGTGAGTGGGAAATCTGAGAGGAGCTATAGAAAACCTCCAAAAATATGGAGGAACACTGATTTTATTCTTAAGGAACTTCCCAACAGAGATTGAACATGTATGTATTCACATACATACATATTGAAGAGGAATTTTATATATATTATCATTATTATATTGACTAAACAGTAAAACAAAAAAAATCTGTTATTCTCTTTCATGAGAGCATTTTAAAAATCTGAGACAGCATATTTAGAGGTTTTTATTGTGACATGGCTCTCCAGCTGCTAGAGCAAAATAAGTATTTTAAAATGTCACGGGCTGTGAAATAGTTTCCCAATGCCATTATAACCTGTTTCCCTGAAACCAAGACAGGATTTTATATTAATTTTTGCTCCAAAAATGCATTATGGCCTATTTTCAGGGGATGTTTATTTTTGTCAAGTACAACCATCTACATTTATTCAAATGCAATCATGTCATATTCTGGTTGCTGCACAATGGTGGACGGTGGGGTTTCACTTAACTAGGGTTAATTTCTAGGGTAGGACTTCTATTACAAGCATCCTGAAAAATCATACAAGGGCTTATTTTCAGGTTAGGTCTTATTTTAGGGGAAACGGTATTTATTTTAAAAATAATTTGCTATGCTATTTAAAGCAGTCAAATTAAATAAGCAAGAACATCTGAAATGGGGAGAATGTTAACTAAAATAAAGGAACTTGAAAATATCAGAGAAGGAGGTCAAAGAAAGAGTAAGATGGAAGAGAATCAGGGTCAATTTTTACACAAACATCCCTGTCTCCCTTAATACAGCTGTGTAATCCCCCCCCGGACTCTACAAAACATGATAAGAATAATCAGTGTCCTCATCTTAATTCAGTTCCACAATGGCTGAAATGTGGTTATTAACGTAAGCCAAATCATAACCTTTGGTCTGTTCCTCTCTTGTAAACAAAGTCTCCCCACTGTGATCCTTTAGCGGGTGAGCGAATTCACCAAGTTTGCTTAGCAGGGAAGAACAGACCGAAACCTGTGATCTGACTCATTCTAATCAGGAGGATTCTGGCCAATGCCCTAATTTAGCAAGCCTTACTAGGTGCATGTTAAGTACATGTTATTGTATTGTCTACATGAGCCTTTAATATTTCAGACTGCCTTTGAAACAAGATTTTTCTTGAAAAAGGATCCAAAGCTGTATAGCTCTGGAAAAGCAACTGTGCAGAAGAATAAAACTGAACTTGGGGCAATTTGGAAAATATTACATCCGCAACCTCATCTAAGTCCCACTGCCCTTTATTTTACGTACCCCCAAATTTGGTGCAACTTGATACTTCACTGCTTCATAAATCTTCACCATCCTATTTCTGGATTGTATAATTTTCCATCACTGATGAAAATAATGAATTGACAAAGGAAAGAACTTAAACATCTGAAGCCTGTGTTGTCAAACCAACCAGCTGAAACCACTGTTCACCAAATCAATGTAAAAATACTTTTTTTTGCTGTTTCTTTGTTTAAAAACTATAGTTTACAAACACTAGTTCTACTTTAAGTTAACTGAGGTTTCTTCTTATTTCTATATTGAAACAAGTGCCATATTTATGTCATCATAGCATCTAGCAAAAGATAACACTGGGGGAAATGTTTAAAATAAAACTTCTCTTTCAAATGCGTCAACATGTTCAGGGCGTTATCCAGCATTTACACTATTATTTTTTAAAAAGTAAATCAATTAAAAGTACTTCTGATCATTCAAGCTCTAATCTGAATAGAAACAAACAAATTAACAACCAATACTAAATGTAAATACCACTCAAACCAATATCCTTGGTAAGTGGGTTTGGGATTGCATTCATATTTTAAATTCAAGCTATTTGCTTCATGGTATCAGGGTAGAAAACCAAGCGCTTTCATGCTTATAAAGTTACTTCAATTAATACTTACAATGTGCATTTGAAAATACTGAGCAGTAGTTAAGATCAATATTAAACTAATTTCCACAGAATGCTATTAACAAGAAACACCTATTTAAATAAATATAACTTTGAATTAAATGACCAGAATTGTGGTTGTTGTTTTTTTAAAAAAATAATTACAATCATATACAAATTATACTTAACATAGCTCACACAAAATCAATGTAAAATTCATCTTCTTTTCAAAATAGCTTAAGGGGGGAATATTCATACAAAATTAAAAATGGCAAACTCGTCCCATTCAAGCTCTTGCTCTCTTTACGCAATGACCATTGGAAACTCAATCTAATGCTTCTTGCACATCACAGTTAGCTTTAATTACAAACAAGCAAGATGTCCCTTTTTCTCTCTCCTTTTTTTTTTAATAGGAAATGTTCAACTTCTAATGATTGTCAGAATAAAGCAACAGTGAACTTGGCTTTGCAAAGAGGACACACATGTTTTAACGTGGCAAAGTATACCAGCCTGGACCACCAAATAACAAAAAAGACTTCCGAAGCACTCTGAATCAATATCTACAGAAAGCCTATAGGCTCCTGTCCCCTCCTGCCCAATCTGGTCACAAGATTTCCCACAACTTTCTCAAGTAATTAGGGACCCTGTGTCTGAATAGGGCTTTTGTATGGTTCTTAATTGTAAGAATCCCGATGTGTACTGTAACTATACATTGGGATTTGCTGCTTTCATGCCTTCTGAAGAAACCGTCTTTCTTCTAGGCTTTTAATCTTCCTGAGGAGTGCTAGAGTGAGGCCTTTAACAAATTCAAAATGTCATATAACTAACTAGGTGTTACCTACCAACACACAACACTCTATTGTACTTCACTAATGCATTTTTTCATCCTTTTTTGTCTATACGAACAGAGGACTTAAACAGACTTTACCCAAATCAATATTTTCAAGCAAACAGAGGAAAACAGAATGATTCTAAATCTTCTGAACCTCTTACGTCCTACCTGAAATGTCACATGGGAGCTTATTTTCATTTAACCATGGGCCATCAACTACTGAGTATAACAAAGCTTAGTCAGTTGATAAGGGAGGCATTGTAAGGTAAAGACAATCTTCACATAATGTGCCAAAGTCACCTCAATGTCTATTCACAGCCATCATGTCTCTGCAAGCTTCTATACTGCCGTCCATACTTTCAATGCCTACAGGTACATAGGCACTTAAATCACTTTTCATAACAAATACCTTGTTGAAAGTTCTGTTCAACAAGACAGCTGTAACTAGACTGCCCTCTTCTGACATACTATTTTAAAATGCCAGAAAATAATATGGCTGTTCTTGTTTTCAGAGGCCCAAGCAAGGAAACAAAATCCAGTATATTCAATAAAAAGACCTTCTTCACAGTTTTGACCTACATTCAGTAGTTTTGACAAAATCAGAATTCTCTTGCAGCACAACATTTTCTCCTTGATTAGTGACTGCCTTGGTTGCTTGTATAAAATATGCACAAATATGTGAAACCCTCTTTATCTGGCACAGGGAATGGGTCATCCAATACGGCTCCTTAACAGACGCACACGGAAGAAAAACCGGAGCAGCATTAAATAACGCAGTCATTGTTGCTGTGAGGCCAAACCTTTTATCATTGTGTAATGCAATTTTCTCCCATATCCTGAGCATAACAGTCTGATATTATAGTCCTCAATTCATCAATATCCTTTCGCAACTGACAAACTTCTGAGAGTTTCTTTGAGAGGGTTTCTGTACTGTAGTAGTTCTCATCTTCAGATGAGGAGTTCATTGCTGTTATTCAAGAGAGAGAGAGAGGGAGTCAGTGTTCAAACATAAGGAAATAAACAGTTTAACACACCAAATTCTGAATTAAATATTGCAGCCAATGCCTATATTTGTATTTTCTGAAAAGAAAGTATGAACATGTGGCTCTTTCCCCTACTCAAGTACTCTTGAAATGATCCCTTTAAGGAAACAACACATGGGAAGAGAAGGAGGACAGGCCCATTACAAAGTTTTGGTCAAAAAGTAAATACATTTTCTCACTCTGAATTATTAGTTATTGGATGCTGCTGCTATCAGTGTATTTCATATTAAGACAGAACACTTTATGGATATTTAAGGTGAGCATGGTTCACACAAACGCATTCTGCAATAATTCACTAGTCCTTAGTGTGCCATAGGACTCTTTTTATTGCAAGAAAGAAAGAAAGAAAGAAAGAAAGAAAGAAAGAAAGAAAGAAAGAAAGAAAGAAAGAAAGAAAGAAAGAAGACATCCCTGGACAAGTGCATTCTGTCTCCTTTGTTTTGCTGCTCATCATTAAGTAAGAGAAAACAAATTAAAAAACTAAAGCAGAATAACAACCCTTGAAATTGACCAACAATTACCAAACAAGAAAACACCCATGCGGTTTCCAGACAGTAACTAAAAAATTTAAATCAATCTTCTGCCTCCCATTCCTGTGTCCCCTCCCCAATTTTATTTGTATAGATGCACCTTCCCAGTGTCGAAAGAACACAGCCCGTATTTTTCTTCACTTACATCTGATTCCCAACAATAAAGACAGGTTAGGCTCCTTGCCCTGAGCTCGATGGGTAAGAATACTGCAAAGTGCTTTCAAGTCAAACAAACAATGAGACATTTCCTTGAACAACTGGTCAGCCACAGGAAGTTTTTCAGTCAAGGGCTGTCTGGACTGTTCCATCTGATGAATCTGTTCCTTCAAAGATGCATTTTCTTCCGAAAGTCTTTGGTTCTTCATTAAAAAATGTGTGTGGGGAAAAAAGGCATTGTTTTAGAATCTCATGAGACAAATTCTAACAGAAAGTAGATATGTCCAAAGCCAGAACAGATACAGTGGTGCCTCGCTTAGCGACGATAATCCGTGCAGGAAAAACGTTGCTAAGTGATTTCATCGCTAAACGGATTAAAAAAGCCCATAGAAACGCATTAAAACGCCATTAATGTGTTCCTATGGGCTTAAAAACTAACCTTAAGCAAAAATTCTCCATAGGGGCGGCCATTTTCGGTGCCTCTAAAGCGAGGCAACACAGCAGGCGGCCACTCTGTTTACCCGGCGGCCATTTTGGAACCACCAATCAGCTGGCCGAAAAACGGGGCTTTGTGATGATCGCTTCCCTGCGATCATTACAAAGCGAATTTTCCCCATAGGGAACATTGCAAAGCGATCGCTTTTGTGATCGCAAAAACAGCGTCGCAAAGTGATTTCTTCGTTAAACAGAGCAATCGCTACGCAAGGCACCACTGTATGTTGAAATCAAGGGTAAGACATAATTTTAGTCCAACGGAACTCCATGCTCAGAAACCATATACTTTTATTAGGTGATGGAGAGGACAGTTGTGGACTTTATGTCCTTCTAGAGGCATATGGCAGATATCTGATAGAAACAGAAAGCTTAATGTGGTGGATCTAGCAAATCATGTTAACATTTGTTATATTAGGCTTACTGCCCAAAGACTTTTCAAATATGCATGCATAACACAGAACATTTTATTATCCAAAACACAGATTTAATTGATCCTATTATATGTTCCCTATGACACAAACTATGAATCAAAAAATGCCCCACAAACTCCAAATTTATAGATCTATGGACCTGTAGCAGAAAATCATTCATAGGCAAACAAAAACAAAATTTATTGTCATTGTAAGTATATACAGGTACATAGTATACACATACAATGAAATTCACACAGACACCCTGAGACCAGACCCACATGCACACACATAAAAAATCCCCAAACACTCAACACCTACTAAAAACCCCCACTAAGAACACAAACATCTGCACCGCAGGCTGAGTAACACTGTCCAACTGTTCATGCTGGTGTTCTTTAAGTTCATTATTAAGTTTAATAATTTAATAATTGTGTCAGTGTTATACAATGGGGTGCAATCATGTGTGTACAAGGAACAGAGGAAGGGACTTAGCACACAGCCCTGGGGAGCTCCTGTCCTTAGTACCAAGGTAGAAGAATGGAGAGATCCCATCCTTACTGACTGTGGCCTATCTGTGAGAAAGTCCTTTACCCACACTCAAATTTTCTGAGGTAATCCCAAATTGATCATTTTAACAAATAACCTATTAGGTAGAATGGTATTAAAAGCAGAGCTATAATCCACAAACAACAGCCTCGCGTAAATTCCCTGTTGTTCTAAGTGACTGAATACAGTATGGAGAACAATGGACATAGCATCACCAGTAGATCTATTTCTCCTGTATGCAAATTGCCATGGGTCCAAAGAAGGTCTAGCCTTAATGTAATCCAGCACCAATCTCTCAAAACATTTCACAATAACAGATGTTAAAGCTACTGGTCTATAATCACAAAAGGTGGGTGCAACCGGATGGGGATTTGTCCTGTGGTTTGGTTTGCTCTGGGGATGGGCTAGTTTGTTCCTCTTCCTTCTTGGCAACCATATGATGTATGGGGTATTGTGAACCAGCTCATCCCTGATCCATGCCTTCTTGCACCTTTGTGGCTCCCTGCCCTTCAAAGCAAGCCTGTTTAGACTCATTTAGTCCAGTCTAGGCTGGGATAGTTTACCGTATTTGCTGGTGTACAAGATGACTTTTTTGGCCCAAAAAACATGCCTTCAAGTGTGGGGGTCGTCTTGTACACCAGGTGCACATCATTTGGGCCAGGAAGGAGCTGCCGCCGCCGCTGAGTGAGTGACGCAGGGACGTCCCGGCCAGAGAGGAAGGCAGGCAGGCAGGCGGTCGGTCCGGATGG